ACTTTGGCCTTGAAGTTTCTCGTGGGTGGTACTTTATTTTAGTCAACTCCTAGATTGCTCTAACAGGGAGCATGCGCAAGGAATGTGCCTGTAAATTTTAGGTCACGCAACATATTAGCAACCTCACGGAATCAAGAACACTATGAAATGGAGTTAAATAAGCTTGCATATGCAGCTTTTCACAAACACCCGATCCCGTAACCTCACTTAGATTTAATGGAAAGAAATGCTACTTATGCGGCTCTGGTTTCTTGCACATTGAAACTTCAAGATGTTGGAATGAAAGTAATTGTTGCAAAATTTATTGGCTTACAACGTGCTGGTGAGGAGAACTATTTAGTGACCCACTTTTTGCTAACACTAAGCGTTGAGGGGAGAACGCTATCGGTAGCGGAAAGATTTACCGCCATGATGGTTGTGTGTGTAAAAGGGCTTAGGTGGTTGGCAGCGATGAAAATCAAAATGGCGCCATCCTGCCGTGGCGGCGCGAACCTCGAATGAGTGCGGAGTGCAGGGGGTGGGGAGGAGAAGTTGGCGAAGCATCGTGTTCTCTGCAATAAGTTAACCAGGCATCATGTTCTCTCTATTCTCTCAGTCACATTAATGATTCGCAAAGGTTGCTTTTTGGTAGAACTAACAAGGCTTATTAATAAAACAATTAGCTGAACGGCGTTGGGTTTTCGGCGGCAATTCCAGCGACTGGGTTGGCAAATTCACTAATGACTATCACTGAACATGAAGCAGAATCGAGTTCAACAAGGTAATATAACTAATGGCAAGTTTATCAGAGACTTAATCAGGCTGGATATGATCATAAAACGTCAACAATCACGAGGAAGGTTACTTTGATTCGCATACAGGTACGCACATCCAACAAATTGGGACGACGTGGGCCGAAAGCAAGATTGATATCTTAAGGAAAACTCGTAGTTCCAAAGCATTTATTTCCGAGGCACTTTGATTCCCGTTTTCGCAATGTAAATGGCATGCGTAAATCGGGTTCTGCTTCTTGGTCTGCATGCTTCTACATCGTGTGATGATTGTCACGAACAGCACGGATATGGGCTAGTAGATAGACCACAATTTAGTTGTAATCAACTTCAGAAGCACACCTGCAATCGACTTGTTGTGAATCGTGTTTATTCACACCCCTTAATCCGGTCGCCCCACCTCCGACACAGGGTTCCCATTTTCGCAGCATGCCGCCAGCCGCACGGATCCTCAACTCCCCCCTCATTCACACGGATATTTATCCTAGATTATCCTCACACCTAGGTTTCGATGTTAGTGCATGTAGGACTCACACATCGAGGTATAAATACACACGCGCAAACCCCACACACGACACAACGACACCAACGTGGTTGAGCTCTGAAGTAAACGGTCTTCCTCTCCGGTCTTTTACTTCATCGCGGGTATCCGGAAGCGTAGTCGGTCCAGGGTTAATTCCGTGGCGCCGGCGTGGTTCAAGACCACATGCTGGGGCCCACAACAAACTCATAAAAAACATCCTCTACTCGAGATTAAGTCACCACGACATTCATTTACCGGCGGCCAACTAATTATCCCACGTATTGGCATTTAGTCATATACGGTTACTATTGAATATTCGACAATAATTCTGTTTACCGATAAGAGTTCTTTAAAATTTCTATAAGACACAAATTACTTTAAGGGACATCACTTAAATCTCTGTATCCATCCGTACACCACTTTGCTGTTCCAACAAAGCGCACTTTTAGATCAACGTGGAAGTGTAAGTAACTACCGGGTTTAAAGTTTACTCTAATAAGTTGAACGGAGTAGAAATCCCAAAAATCTTTTAGTCCTAGAACCGCAATAGAAAAGCCAATTCTATCTGATTGGTGCAGCAACTGTGAGGTAATTCTGTTGTTGATTTTCCCCTTCGGATGTGCCCATTCCTCCCTCGACAGCCGCATTAAAATGAGGTCCACAAACGTTATCACTCAGATTCTTCACGCAAATGGTAGCTTCTTCACTAGTTGTATAAGCTTCTCATCTCCTTTTCGATTTCACCTTAATTATTGATTCAAATTTCAGTCCGTAGTGGAACATTATATAAAAAACCCCTTTACAATGCTCAATAAATAGCCTCATCAACATTTAAGTCGAGTAAAATATTTGATCCAATATTTTGTTTTCCCTGGGTGCATTTCCAGAGTTAATTTTGGAAGTTGAGACTTTTGGAGTCTGATTTGGTGTACATCTGTTGTGGGCCCCAGCATGTGGCCTTGAACCACGCCGAGTCCACGGAATTAACTATGGATCGATTACGTTCCCTTGATACCCGCGATGAAGGAGAGGATCGCTGAGAACGGGACACAACCGTTTACTTCAGAGCTCAACCAAAACTGGTGTCGTGTGTGGAGTTTGCGCGTGAGTATTTAGAGATCGGATGTGTGGGTCATAACCGCGCTAACATCGAGACCTAGGCGTATGGATAATCTTAGATACATACACGTGTGAATGAAGGGGGAGTTGAGGGTTCGCGCGGCTGGCGGCATGCTGCGAAAAAGGGGAACCCTGTATCGGAGGTGGAGCGACCGGATTAAGGGGGTGCGAATAAATACGATTCACGACACATCAATGGCTAATAAATTAACCCTGAGACCCCTTTTTTATCTAACCGTCCAAGCAACAAGCTGCACACCAGTAACAATGTTTCCGTTTTGGTAGGTTTGAGCGCTGTAACGACTAGTAGATGTGGACAAGGTGTGTCCAGCAGGAAAGAATAAAAAAGGCTTCAGACGGCCACCAATCCAACATCTATTTTTTTTCTTCTTAAACAGTACATCGGCTACCGCCGTCTCAGAAAGGTAAATTTATGGGCTAAATATTTCTTGACAGTCATCAGGGAAAAAGGTCAAATTTTCGAAGCAAACGGTGAATGGTTCTTATGGTGGTGTGGCGGGCACGAAGCGGGAAAAAATGCGAAGGCTCCTTGGCAACCTTTTTTTCCAAAGATCAAGGATTCGATCGAGGCAATTCACCAAGGGTATCGATTTAATTTGCTTAGGTGTTAATTTTTAGACAAGTAATTGGTTGGTGTTAAACGGCCAAATGGCCAGGACCGACCCAAATGCAGTGCATCATTGTGAAACTTTTCAAGTCAGCCTTCTGATCGTCTGAAATGTTTGTGCTCTGAATTTAGAACCTGGGAGAAATCCACAACACACCTTCCATGTCACTTGTCAATCTTAGGAATTAAATAACTGATATGATCGATTTAATTTTTAACTGACAGGATTTCTCGTCCCATTGAGATGACATCCACGAGGGACGAACTGACACAGCCTTCAAAATATGATGTTTAAATGAGGAATTAGTTAGGGTAAGTGAAGCTTTCCTAAAAGTCACTCAAGTCGATTAGTCACAAACTAAATCCAAATAAAACGGTTGATGCAAAGAGCACACGACTCAGATTGTTTAAACAAGTGGTTCGTGAATGATTAAGGTATTTGAGTTAAATCTAAAAAAAAGACTGCTTCACAGAAGCAGTATCTGGTACCAACTACCTTCGAATTCACGCTGTGAAAAGTTCCTCGCTCTAAGTGCACTACAACACTCAAGATTGCAGTGTCCGTCAATAGTATGCATTTGTAACGCGCGCCATTCGACACACGCACACCGGTCTGGCCTGTTCGTTGTCCTCCTCTTCCCGCCCGCACTCTCGCCTCCCTCAAGGCACGCCCGTGAGTCCATGGGCAACACCAACCCTCCTCGCGGCCATCCCTCTCCCTTGCTCCAACTCTCCCGAAGCTCTAGCCCTCTGAATTTGTGTGCGGTAGTATGGAACACATCCGGTTCTTCCAGCTATTCTTCTATCGTGTGCCTGGTAGCTAACCATGTTGGTGTGGCTATTTACCTATTTAGATCCCCGCTCGCTAGGCGCATTACACTTCCATCACCCACACGAAAACAGCTTCCAGATTCGATGATACGACTTTTATTTGATGCCACAATTATCGATTTTCGTTCGACTGTGAGACAGAAGTTGGCTGAACTCTTGCAAGTCAAATTAACACATCAGGTGTTTCATACTTTTAATGGCTAATACCATCAAAGACGACCCAAAATTACGACAGGTCGAAATCGGTTGCATTTCGCATCGATACTTCAGGGCAAAAGGTGCACTTATTCAGCATTTTGCAACGACACGCAAAAATCGCCACCAGGAGCACGCTATTTGTTACCAATAGAAACACAAGGGGTAAATATGTCCCCGCCACCTCCAAAATTTAAGAGAATTAACAGAAGGGAAGGTTTCTACTCAGCAGCTAAAATACTTAACCAACATTAAGTGATTGGAGGTGCTAAAAAGAAAAAAAAATAAGAGGCTCCATGAAATCACCTAAAATTTCGCTATTGATTGCAATTGAATTTTTAAATCTGAAGGTAGATCAACGGGACTAGGTTTGAAAAACAAAGAATTTTACGCCACACATTCACTAATAAAGAAGCCAGCCCCGTGAACATCGATACAAATGACGACTTTGTGCTGCAAATAATACCAAAGTAGATTCCACCAGCTCGCAGTCATGCGCAAAGCAATTCGGATTAATTATTAACAAATCCCAGTACTTTCACAGGTTACGAGGTGACGCATTGACCAATGAGCGTGTTCATTTATCGATTCTGTGAGACAAATTAAATACCCGGCAGATTCAGACAGCGCTGGGTTCTCCTACCCTCAACTTCCGGAAATGCCACCTTTTGAACACTGGGACAATTTCCAATCTAACTCCAGTTAACACTGGCAGCTCAGCAAGAGTTTGCATCCACATCGGTCCTACTTAAAATACACTTGGCAAGTTAAAAGTGACAGTTGGTATCTAAATCAACCATCCACTACAACGATACTGTCCGCCAAAGACTTTGTTAAAATGACGCAGATTACATAGGGCTTTTGAGAATTTCCCATTGAGAAGCACGCACAGCACAACCCGACAGCAAGTTCGTAGTTTTTACAGACATCAAAATCACTCGAGCAGATGTCCTTTGGCCTTCAGTTTCTTCATAACTCGGCCTTGTTCAGCGGCGGCAGCGCGTTTTCTGCGCTGCTCGGTGGAGACGACGGAGGGCGGTTGGCCGAAGAAGTAGGCCGGGGAGCCCCCACCAAGGGACGAAGAGGAGGCGGGCGAACTCCCCGAGCCGATGAGGGGGGACTGAGGCGGCGGCGGCAGGAGGGCTGAGGGTGTCCGCTGAGCGCTGCCCGCAGCTGCCGCGAGGGAGCCCGCGTGGCCGAGCGAGTGGCGCGGCGGCACGGGGCGCTTCGAATCGGCGGCCTTGAGGGCTGCAACCACGCTCGGATCAACACCCGGAGGGATGACGCCGCCGCCGCCACCACCACCCAAGGCACCGCTGGGAAGGCTCGCGGTCGCCGGATTCGGGGCTGCGCTAGCAAGACCTGGAGGTAGTTGCTGAAATGAAAGGCGTTGATTCACATCCATTAATGCGGCCGTCGAAAACTCAGACACGGCACCCTCCCCCTTTCACGACGCCCCCATCGCCATCACACGAAACCGTCTGTTTGTGCACCCCTGTCTACATACCACCCGGTTTTTCATTCCGGTCATTTGGCCGTTCACCCAGACTAGAGTGATCAACAACCTCCACTAGTCACGCAAACAACGTGGTAGAAACACCTAGAAAACAGTGGTCTAACTCTCTCATCTCCCTTCTCATTGCTTTTTTGGGTACTTCATGGTGCGTCCTGCCACAACAATATTTCACTGAATACGTGTGGGCTATTTGTATGTCGCATGATGGTACTAATACGAGATATCACAGTCCATTAACACTGATGGTTCCGAGGTGGAGTGGATGGATGGAAGGTCTCGAATACCTGTTTCATGGGTGATTCGCCACAAAGGCTCACTTTCCCTGTGATGGCAGACGCATTTAAAAACGAAGAAGAAAAATAGTCCATGCAGCGATCGCGCCTGAGTGAAGCCTGGTTACCGACTTAACGGTGACAATGACTCATCCCCTCACTCATAGACACACTTGGCTGGCGTGGCGCTAATAAACGGTCGTGTCCTCTGTCGCCCCTTTTTCCACTCCGTTCTAAGGGTGTTTCGGGCTGTTAACTAGAGGGTTGTAAGGTAGTGCTATACTCAAGCCACCACAGGGTGTTGGTAAATAAAATGCCGCCAAATCGACGAAGACGGATAGTACGACTACCAGCTCCTGGAGCAATTGTGCCAACAGGCACTAGTTTAGCCATTGGCAAGCATGTGTGTCGTCTTCAATGAAAACAAAAGCTGCAAACAGACTGCGTGCGGTCCCGAGCCGGGTTTAGCAGGTTCCAGACCTATGCATACAGTCATTCCGAAAATCGGATCGGAGTAATATGAATAGGAATGCAGTTCTACTTAAGATACATATGTAACACAACGAGGAGTACGAGTACAAAACAGCATGCTTCTTCCCTGTAGTAGCTTTTTAGTTCAATGAAAACTGTTTCAATGAATTAGAATAAAACCCTTGTCTCAAATCAATAAAATTACTTGGGAGCCGACCGAGATCAGGGGAAGCAAAGAGCTTTTGATGAAGTGACATCCACTACAGTAAAACCTCACCGTATTCTTCAAGCATCTGGCAACATTGGCCACCGTTAGTCTTGATTTGTTCGTTGTTTCAAGTCTGACTGGTGTTGAGCGCCGCTTACAATTTGCCCAAAGGACAAGCGGTGCTCGTGGTGAACGCCATCTGAAATCGCCCAGAGTGGTATGCATGGTTTACTCTGTTTTTTTTGACGGAATATTTGTTCTTTAGGCTAACACATGTACGTTGGTGAACGTTTCGAATCGTTCATTGTTCCTTCAGGAGTCGTCGTGTCAGATCGTCCTTGGACGTCAAGTTTGTTGCAAATCACAATTGTTAACACATCTCTTGTTAAATTTTGTGGATGCATCAGTGGGGTTAGGGTTTTAAGAATGAGAGTCGACTGCCCAAAATGGCAAGCATATTTCAACTGTGACGTAATACCACCGAGTCCGTCTCCGTTATTTGACCGGACGACACCACAAGGACATGTGGAAGCCCCAACGAGGCTCTAAAACTTCACCGGAGACGACGCCCAACATAGACAACGCGGAGTTCAACCGACTGATGACCTCATTAAGAGAGTGGTGCTTTGGCGCAGGAAGGTGTGAGTTTAGGCATGAACACTCCACATTCTATGCCTGAACAAAAGTCGCTACGTCAAGTGATTTCAACATAACTGATTGAATTCTCATCCGCTCACGCCTGGCAAGAATGTCCGTATGTTCATCGCCACAGACGCGTGCAGCACGGCAAGGAATATTTTCAGCAACAACGGTCGAACCGTGGGAATTAGAGCAGATGTGGACCAGCACGTTCAAAATGCGCATTTTAGGCTTAGCAACACGCTAGGTGATAACAAGTGGGTTTCAAGTGGCAGTGACAGTGCATCCCGACGTACCTTGTCCGCAGCAAACAGTTCCATCCGAGCTCTGGCTGCCTGCAGCTCGTAGTCGCATTGCAGCATCGCTCCACGCAGGTCGTAGAGAAGGAGGATGTTTCCGCGCAAGCGGTTGTACGCATCTACGATCTCGCCGGTCGCAGGCGGACTTGGGTCTGCGAGACAAAAAAGACACACAAACGTCTATAACCCAACTTGCAGCCGTTCGAGTGGCAAAGCCCCACTGCTTCGCACAGTAAACCAGGTTATGGGATGGGTCGTTAACACATCGATAAGCTTGTCGTGAATCGTGTTTATTCACAGCCCTTAATCCGATCGCTTCGCCTCCGACACAGGGCTCCCCATTTCGTAGCAAAGCGCCAGCCGCGCGGATCCTCAACTCCCCCCCTACTACGCTTTGTGTTCTGATAATCACACTATCCAGGAACACCATTAGTTGAATAAAGGTACAAGCTCTAGTGACTTATCGCCATCGGGAAAAAAACGTTTTCAAAGACACAATTTAGACCGCTTTGGGCTCGCCTCATTTTCAGCAGAAACCATATCTCAACCACATCCGTCATTACACTAAGCAGCAAGCATTAGTGTAAAGAAGGAGGAGTAAATGCACAGGAAATAGACCCGACTCACCTAACTGGTAGTGGGACAAAAAGTTCTCAATGACACGAATCCGCTTTTGACCTAGGGACGACGGCAACTTCATCTAAAAAGGAGGGAATTTAAAAGGCCTAAATGGAGAGCCAGCAGCGCTAGACACTTGCAGATTCTCGAGCGAGAACACAAATTAGGCTGGGGCGAGCCAAGCCATTTATCAATCCGAAGAGACGGGGCTGATAGCGACAGATTTGGGTGGGGAAGCCGCTGCTCTGAGTTGTTTGCCAAACAAAAAAATTGGCAAAAAAGAAGCGTTTAAACGGAGTCAAAGGGTGCGCTTGACTGCTAGTGTGGGTATGTCTGCATACGAAACCAGGCGCTAATGAAAAACAAGCGCAGCCTATGCCAGCTGTCAGCTATAGGTCGACATCAATTCTCCAGAAAAAAAAGTCCGTTGAATCATTTCCAAAAGGCTATAGCCCAGTTTAGTGTCGCCTATGACAATTAAACAGTACATTGTCTGGAATTAGTTCACGTGTGTGCTTCCAATGCACCGGCATAGTTGGAGGTCAGTTATAATAAAAGGCATGCTTGTATAATGACGATATGAAAAAGCGAGCGAACAAATGGACGTGGCCGGCGACTTGTTTAATGCCACAACAATTGAGCAGAACCACAACTGCAAGAAACGAACTCGAACAGGAATGAGCATGAGTTGCAATTGTTTAAATTTCACAAAGCCTTCAAGAGGTCCCAACTACAAGGGGCGGGTGAACACCAAACGGCAGTCCTGTTGCATCGAAATTGTCGATACCCGGCGGAAACCGTGGCATTTCGAGGGCGGTGAAAGACAATTTGACGCCCACTGAAGACCCGGCCGACAGAGAACGGGACGGTCGAGGTTTGGCTGGTGAGAATACACGCGTGCTCACGTCGTCCACGATGTAAGCAGGAAGACTGGAGCCTTCTCTACGAAATCCCTGGGTTATTTGCACATAATGCCAGTCCATAGTAAACTTGAACTGTAGGTTTCCAAAAGATCAAGCTAGTACAAACTACTTGGGTGGCTTTTCAGCTCACCAGGCGACTCCCGTGGCGTTGCTACTTCGTAAACAAGAGTGGTAATGAAAAATCGACTTGGGTACTAGTGGACCCCACGAAGTTCTCCTTTGCTTCTTCAAATTACGCGGTCGCAAACATCGCAAACATCCGATTTCCAAACAACCCGCAGTGGGGAGATATTGAAAACTGACGTTAACTCGAGTGAAGCAATGGAAGGGTGTGGGTTGGCGGAAATCTTAGGCTAAACCGACCATTCTGCTGGTGAAAATTTGCATAAAATGGGAGGACAAGGTTAAATAGTCCGCTTTTTTGGGAGACAGGAAGGCCTTTTCACGCACAGCTGCATTCAGCCTCATGGGAATTCTGAAGCAATGGATCCCAACTTTTGAAATATTTAAACACAAACAAGAAGCCACTTACCGTGGGTCTGAATTTAGACAATTTTTGGAAAAAAACCGTGCAAAATTACATAGCCTAAGACATATGAGACGTGTTACGTGAAAATTCTCATCCTTAACCGATAGCTTGAAGCCATAATCAACTTTGTCCACGGATGCATCAAATCACAAATAAGTTATGTTTGTCAACGATAAAACCTACAATCGAGGTGATTTTTCATAGAAAATAATGTTACATAATGCAATGCATTCTGAATTGCACGACTAGCTAAGAAGCAAAGCACCAGACAATAAACGTCACACATCCGTTTAACTCAACACATACAAGCATTAAGCGCCTAACGTCAGTGTTTCTATGCAAATAATTGCTGAATTTTCCCAAAAAAGCACAAAATCAAACAGAATGTGAAAGGAGAATAAGAAATAACCGTGGACACCAAATCCTACGTCATTAACATGTTAGATGATGAGATGTCTCGGTAAATATCGCAGGATTTCCTAATCCAGGAATGCAAAAATAGGAATACACTATCACTATTTACATACCAACACGATGTCAAGGAAAATTTAAAATTTGCGCAGAGCTAATCAACAAATAGGCCTTATTGATTATAGTCAATAAATACCCCTTTAAATTAAATAAAATGCAGGTAAAAGAGTACTTAGGGGTTCAGTGAAGTTCGAAATGAAGAGATTGTTGTGAATCGTGTTTATTCACACCCCTTAATCCGGTTGCTCCACCTCAGACACAGGGTTCCCCTTGTCGCAGCATGTCGCCAGCAGCGCGGATCCTTAACTCCCCTCTCATTCACACGGATATATATCTTGAATTATCCTCATACCTAGGTTTCGATGTTAGTGCATGTAGGACTCACACATCCGAGGTATAAATACACACGCGCGAACCCCACACACGACACCAACGTGGTTGATCTCTGAAGTAAACGCTTGTGTCCGTGCTCTCCGGCCTTTTACTTCATCGCGGATATCAGGGAAGCGTAATCGGTCCAGGGATAGGTCAGTGGCTACGACGTGGTTCAAGACCACATGCTGGGGCCCACAACAAGATGTCTTTGTAGTTTCTGGGTCTACAGCGAAGAGACCTTTCAAACGATTGTTGATATCTCATCAAGACCCCTATGAATGGTGGTGTCGCTTTTCCGACAAGGTCCTAGTCAGAAATCTCATGTTTTCGTGGATTCGTGACCCACACACATCGTCCCATGCCCGAAACCTTGCCCCGTAATTGTGTTACAACAAGCACACTTTGCGATTCTCACTCCGTGGTGCCAGTAAACAAGCAATTTCATCTATTGCAGCGCATTGGTCAGCGTGCGCTGTGCACGCTTAGCTTAAAACTAAACCACAAAATTCACGTCAGAACACATGACACAACCTTGAACTTCTTCAAGGGGACATCCGCATTGTTTGGTAGTGCACTGCTAGAAGAAGCATTTTGATCCGACGAGATTTCGACTGTACACAGTACAACGGCCACGGCTCCACTACGTTTGCCAAACTATTCAGTTTCCTCAATTTGCACACAATTCAGGCGACGTTGCTTTGAAATTCTGTCACAGCTCCTAACGCGACGCTACGAAAATGTAGATTTTTTTTTCTACTGCGGAGTAGCTATGCGTGGAGTCTGTTTTTGCGCTCTACTTCGCTTAGCATTTTAGCTTAGGTCCAATACAATCGGAGCGCACTCCTCCAAAATGGAGGATTAAAGCCAAACCCGGTTCAAATTAAAAATGGGTTCAGTTAATCGCACCTAAAATGAACACCCCCAAAATCACGCGTAGAAAGAAACGATATTTTGTTGCAAAACGAAGCCACCGTCTTCATCGTCCGGCCTCAAACGCTGATTCCATCGGCAGGGAATGGACCCATTGGCTGACAGCAAGGTGTGAAGTTCGGTGAAACCAATAGTCATTTCTAAATAATCTTGATGACTCACGTCTATCAACACTGACGCCGACTATCTAGAAACCTCGCTCGCCTTTTCGCACGGACGCCATCGGCCATGCGGACACGCGCATGTCTCCACTGTCACTCTGACCACGTACCTTACGATTCAAGAAGGCGACTAGTTTAACCGAATTTCACTGGTTGACAGCCTCCAACAGACATGTCGCTCCTGCGCAGAGTTGAGCTATCACCTCGGGTCTTTTTCAAGCATTCCAGTGTCGGGCCCACAAAACAAGACCACCACGGTTGGTTGACAGCCGCCATCACTCATTTTCCCGTGCACGTCAGTACACACGATGCCCAGAGCACAACACACGCGACAAGAGAGTTGAGGCGTCCTTTGTGTATTTTAACATCGGTCAATCTCGTCAATGAAACAAGGCCACCGTGATGTTGGTCGGAGAGCAAACCGGGATCTTTACTACACATCCCTTGATACACAAGGCACGAAAAGGCAGTAATCAACTTGAGTGAAGTGAAATTGTAGCGGCCAATGTGTGCAGAAAAAACGGGGATCTTCTTGCAAGACATTTCTCAACGGTGAGCGTATTTCGGTTTTATTTTAAGAAGATACCTTTGGTCTGGAATAACTAACTTAGACTTGGTTTTACTATAAAGCATTGCTTTTCTAAGACGAAGAAAATTACAGGAAGCGGTGGAAATCAAGCAAGGACTTGATTGCACTCTGCTTGCTTAGTTCATTGACATGTCTGATACTGGAACGACCTACATTACCATCGTCTCTGTTTGGTCATATGAAGCCGATGCAAATCATGTGCTGTCCTTTACACCTACGCTGAGGAAATTTAAATTTAGGTCACCAAACATGCATAACTCCGCAAATCATTGGACGCTCCCATTCCCACCACAATGCGGCAGGTGACGCACAGGAAGTCGGACATGTCTGATTGTAAAAGGTTCGCATTTTCTTAAAATGAGTCACATCAGCTAGAAAGTAACATATCAAACACAAGGTGAGTAGTTAGGGGTTAGGTTCGTGCGTTTTTGCAAAGCAACGATCCAAATATTAATCGATCAGAAAATATTACCAATAATTAAGGTCTTCAATAAGCACTGGCGATGGTAAATTCCCTAATCCGACTGTCTAGGATCCCCAGGTACAAGAGTCGCTCTTGGATTACACCTATCACCAGTTTTAGACATCGATCGACGCAGTTAAAGTCGTTTACGTAGAAAAAAATGTAAGGATCATCGACTGCTCTTGGTGTTAAGTCCTAAACGCGAAGTGAGCGACTGCAGTGCGCACAACTAGAAAAGGCAAATTTGCTGAAGCAAAGGCACCAAGATGGCAACTCACCTTTTGACTGTGCAAGTAAACACCAGCGGTTTTGGCGAGATCGGGGAAAGTGATGGTCGTCGAAGCAGACTAAAAACCACCATGAAGAGTAGTAAACCAGCTTAATGCCACTACGAAACGCTGCATTTGTACTAATCCTACAGCTAAGAAAACAGACACGGATGGCGAAAAAAAGTTGCAACGTACCAAACTAGCTGAGACAGCGGAGGAAGCAGCCGCGAGTCCAGCACTAATGGATCCCGCAGATCGACAGTTGGCGCCACTCGCGGCCCCGTCGACAAAGCCTTGCGAGGTCAGAGTGGACTTTTTGCGTTCAGGGGTAGCCGAGGACGCGGCAGAGGAGGCGACGGAAGTTAACCTACGAAAGCCTTTTGATTCGTCGCCCGCCGCCTCCGATACCCCGCTGCTTGAGTCGCGGACAACTGCTTCGGCCTAAACGCGAAATCGTACGAGCGAGGTAACAACGTCGCGAACAGAAGCAGTGCTACATTACTTTAACACGATTAAGTGCTACTTCGAGCCAATGATTAATGATCCCCGGTGCTAGTGCCAAGTCGGTTTTAAGGGAAGATTTATTACCCTTGTGTCTGCGTGGGTGGGTCCCAGATATGGAACGCCAGCTGAAAAAAATGACGGTGTGTGGATGTGTACGACCGTAGTTTGCGTTGCAACAGTACACAGGGGACTTAGACTTGGGGAAACACATACGTCTTGCATCATTCAGGAGGGCATTGTGCCGATACAATAAGCAGAAACAACGCATGGGCTTAACACACAAAAGCCAGGTTGGTAGCACACCTTGTTCGACCTCACTTTCAGAAATGCGGGTTTACGCACAAGCACATTTAAACAAGGAGGAATTTGATTTACTCATGTTACAGAATGCGGCGTTCTGAGAAACTGGTGGGTAGCCCGAAATAGTGCACAATTGACGCAATCAAGGCCAGTAAAATTTGATAGCAGTTATGGTGCTTGTTATACAATTTTCGGTCGATTGCGGTACTCCGAGGCAAGGAACGAAATAGGGCCGAGTTGTTGCGAATGTGAGACTTCTGGAGTGAGTGCAGGATCCGGTTGCTGTACCAAGATACCCCGAGTAGGACTAGGGAGACAACCGTCTACCGTGTCAGCGTGCATATGCTAGGGGTGGGGGTGGGAATTACCACGTGTGGCGACAGAGATGATGATCCGTAACACAAAATTAGCAAAAGCTTGCAGCAGGACAGACTACATTCGGTGATCTCCTGCTTCCTTGGCTAAGCCTTGATGATTGTCAAATAGAATGACTGAAATTTTAACGATGTTTCATCGATTAGAGACGAGCAACGATGAAGCAAACGACCTGCATGGAGTAAAACACGCAGCCGTTTAGTTGGTGACATTAGACTGACAGTAACCACAGTGAAAGGCATGGGTGGGTAGAGTGAGGCGCATTTCAACATCTGTGACCTATTGGAAATCGACGGCCGGTCTATTAGACCAAAACGTCTAATAGGGTAGGACAACCAGACCAACTGAATTGACAAAAATACTTGCAACCGGAGTGGGACGAAATTACATCTACTCCAGGGAGGGTGATGCGACAAAAACGACATAAACCAAGGCCATTAGAGCAAGATAAACCTTGCATACTAACGCACTGATGTGTCGAATTTTTTAAACGCACTCGGGATAGGTTAAGGGCTTGAGAACCAGTTACGATCAAGCATACGTTGGCTCAGCCAAAACCGCATTATTCTTGGTAGATGAATTTTACAAATTTAGTACACTTCCGGCAATTCGCCGTTGGGTTCGTTGGCTGGTGCTATTTCTAAGTTGCGCTGTGTGGCTGTTTTTTGACTATTAGAATCACAGCTAGGTGTGGTTCTAGGTTGTTCTGGGAACATTACAGAGAATTTGTTCGACCTGAGGATTTACAACAAACGCAATTAATCGTCACATACTCCGACTTGCCGCCCTCCGTTTTTCACAAAATGTCTACTGATCATGCGGAATTACCTGTTCTTACACCTGCGTGCGTTCGCCTCCCCAGTGCTACTCATTCCAATCACCTAGCCATTTTTGTATTCGCAATTTCACCTAGACTGGATTGACCAACAACCTGATTGGTCAGAACACCATGTCCCTACGCCGCGACCAGGCTGAGCCATCCAATAAACGGTTGTCGCTACCATTTGCGGTCTTAGTCTTCCCAGGTGTCTGCGTAGCCTAATCTGGCCCCGGTGTGGTTCAAGACCGCGTCTTGGAGCCTTCCAACCAATCCACCAACCTGTGAGATGAGTTTTTGGAGGTCCTGTTTCTTCTTCTCACGATCCTTTCGACGGGCCTCGATGCGGTTGAGCTCGCAGATGAGCCTCTCCTCTTCCTCCACCTCGTCGCGGCTGCGACCGTAGAGGAGGCTGAGCTGCTGCTTGCGCCGACGCTCATGGTCGAGGTCGTATCGGAGGCCCTGGGACAGATTGGTGCCGCGGATCTGCACAAGGAGGAGGAGGAGGAGGAGTAAGGATAGGTGACAAGCTCGAATCAAGTCCAACCCACTCGAAACTTGGCACGATGGCAAGTTAACTTGTGAACAGAACTCCTACCTCAGCTTCTCCTTCAGCGTCGACCATGAGTGGGTGTGAAGTGAGAAAAAAAGCGCGCACACAATAATTTGCTTCCTGTCTGTAAGAGCACAATCAAAACGGTCGGTAAAGAAGGCCCTCACTCCCAGTTAAGCAGCTTCCTTTATAGACGGACAACTGTTGGTGATAACCGTCTGGCTAACCGGACCTAATCGAGCTGGCATGCATTTTAGCGAAACAGAATGAAGACAATGGTAAAGGCATCATAAGGTGACTGATAGTGCTCGAATTGAGCAATTGCTTACCATAACTGGAAATTGAAAAAAAATCGAACGGATTTAAACGAACCTACTGAGAGTCTACACTTCGCCAATAATGTTTAAAATGACTGTTTAGGCTATCAGACCATGTATTGGCAATGATAAACGATGGAAATAAGGTGTCTGTCGTGTTTCGATTTAAAAAAAAAAGCGATGTTTACAAAACGACCGCCAGACAGACATGTTCAATTCCAAATTTGGATGTCTGATTTTGTCTACGGAAGACACCTACCCAAACTGATGCAGACTAACACGCAGTTAAATGCATAACCTCAAAACTCTGACACCTTCGAATAGCACTAGTTACGACGGAGTTGAAGTGACCCTGCAACAACGTTAAATCGGTTAGCAAAGTTCGCTTAGCGGACGAATTCGCCTCTTCTCAATTCCCGAAACCACCCAATAAATTGTACACCGGAACTGCTAGCAGACACTGACTGTTGCGTAGCAGACACATTATGAAGGCTCAGGTAATGTGCAAATTGACGAACATCGGGACAAAATTTTGATGGCATTCATAATAATCGCCGCCAAGGCAAAACTATGAACTTGCATCATGTTTTCGTAAGATACGCCCTCACTTTTAAGGGGCTTGCCAAATTGCCTACCGGGTGACACGACAGCGGTGAAAACCGACAACTCAAACGAGGCCACAGTCAGCATAACATGCGCTCAGCACCAAATGCGTGATTGTTAATTCCTGTTTACCGGGGAGTATATTTTCTCCTTGCCTAATGTTTCCGGTGCTCAGAGGTAAACAAGCAAGCAAAGATTTGGAGATGAAACAAAACACGCAACTACTTCACTGCAAAATCATTGAAATTGAAATCGCATTGCTACAAGGCATGCGCGTAACGACGCAAGCCATTATAGGCGCTGGAGGTCACGTACATTAAATGGCAAGATTCGGGTGTAGACTCCTTCACCTTTCCGATTTGGTGCGGTTAAATGAGGAGAGTAGATTGGAAGAAAATTTGCAGTAGACTTAATAAATTTAGGTGTATGTATGTTCACTGTAGCTGCAGCAGTTCGCAGCGTCTTGAATAAGGATAAAAAAGCCACGTTAAGCAGAGAAATAAAAGCCGTGTCACCGCTGACATCCCAGACCCCAACAATAGCCATTTAATCCATCGGAAGGAAAGTTCAAGAGAAACAATTTGATGCGGCACATTCAAATTTAGAGAGCAGACTTGGTGGTGCAACGGAGGCCTGCGATGTGAAGGGTAACTTGTAAGTGTGCTGGAATTCAAAGCCGAATTCATTTACTTTAACCACCTCCCAAATTCGCACAACTTCCTGCATTCCTTCATTGTAACAAAACGTGCCGTCTCTTCAAATAACGTGGTAAGGTCGTTTTCAACTTCTTCCATGAAATCAAATTTTCACCAGGCAAATTTATTCCCACATCACGAAACAGATAGGATCGTGAGAAAGAAGGGCAGGGGAGTGGTGATGAGTGCTGCTGGAGGATGTCCCGTTTCAAATCCCTCTTGACAGACTAGCGCTGTTGTGGTGAGATGTTATGCCTATTAGATTGATCGCTTTTTGGAATTTCAGCATTAAGTTAAGTGAGTTGGACGCATTTTCCTGTTTAGTCACGTGGAATAAGCTCCCTCATTGGGCACATAACGGCAGCGTCGACTGATGAAAAAGAGAAAAGGATGTGGAACCACGGTCGGTTTTATGCGTTCTATCAAAAAGCAATCGACTCATGTCGGGTTTTAATGTCCATCCAGATCGCCTTAAATGACAAGCTGCAGCCGATTTGTCAACACCTAGGCATGCAGCAATTTCCTCACTGATAATCCGTGGAACATACATTACTAAATCACAGGTGAAGTCACTATCAATGTCGAATGTTTAGATTGAAGCCACCATTTTCAAATCGAACACGCCACTTTTGGCTGCGCCCAGTAGCCGGAGCATGATCCAAGTAAAACGTCGTCAATATTAACTGCTGCAGTTTCCACACGCACACTCCAATTTCAAACTCGTTTATTCACACGTCGAAAATGTGACATTTCAATTTGTATCTTGAACACGACTTAATTTGCGCAAACTTCTGTCGTCTAACCATGTTAGAACTCAATAAAAAGACGGGATGCACTTTAAAAACGAGTTCCTTATTTCAGTCACCACATTTAAGATGGCCAAGTTAACACGTAAACAAGAGATTTTAGAGTGCATTGATTCTGCGCTGCTCGTTCACGGAAACCAATTTACACAGCAATCCGCCCTTGTCAACGGCTTACAAGACACCTTGAAAACATCAGCCAATGCTGTTAGTCTACGCTTGACTAGGTCAAGGACTTGCGTGTGAATTACAGTAGAAACGCGAATTCAATTAACAGTTCCACTCATTTAATGAAATAAAACGCAGAAAGCTTCTCGGCCCGAAATTTCCATCATTGATCGACACCTGCAAGTTATTCCCGACTTCAAAACACGTAAAAAAATATGGAAATCCCACGTTGTGGTATTTATTTAGATTGCGTATTTCTATACTCGGCATAAAATTAGGGTATCGCACACTATAAAGCATAAATAAGCGGCTCTACCAAAGGGAATTGGTCTGAACTAATGTTTCATTCAAGTAACACTAGCGCTAGCTATCCCGAGAAAGATAATGACGTTTGATTTCAGTAAGCACATTTGCAGATGAAGTAAAAGCGTGCAGAGCCTAGTCTGTTTATTGTGGAATCCAAACTAAGTATCACCGAGCTACCTTCATGAGCAGCTTAATCTATCAACAGAATTGAGTTACACAGGGTCGCTACGCCTGCTTCAATCAAACAAAATTATTACTCAAAAACAGCATTGCGTGGTGTTTCTCATCGTGATTGAAGCAATTAAAAGGAATACTTTCAAGCATTCTGCAGTTCTTGAATCAAAGGCAAAACTGCACTGCTTTTTAGCAGTCTACACAGGAATTGAATAGAACTCACAACTACTTATTTACAGTTCAATGCAGTTGGCCTATCGAGCAAGGAAATTAATCGTTTCACGGTATTTTAAACACTGAATTCCTAAATATACCGTCAATAACACCTTGGTAATAGTTTACTGCAGTTATCATATCCAGTGGGAAAAATTATTCATTGCGGCCAGATCAGAGGTCAGCGCAAGTGAGGCTGACGTTCGCAGAATCATTAAACTGAATTGATTTAGCAAGCGCCAGAGTAGAAGGATTTTCAACGTGTGTTGCAGATTCACCAGAAAAAAAATTGCGTACACTTCAGACTAAGCCACTTTTCGACATCACCTTGCAACCAGCCAGATGAAGTCCTTTGCATTTAAATACGTGATTATTGGACAGCCTCGTCGAAATTGGATTCCAGCACAATAAATCTCGCCCAGTTAGCACTACTATTCGCTGTAAAACCCCAGTTTTGTGTGCTTCAACACACACTTAAACGAAGTCATTGCATTTTATCAACTTGAAATAGGAAACAAGAAGGTCGAAGCCTAATTTTCAGTATCCAATCAAAGACCTCATAAAATCCAAAAAAGGGGTCGAATCGGAGCAAGTATCTGTAAAAACTGAAGGCTAAAATATTTAGCCACCAGGTTAATTACGGGTACCAGAAACAAACTCGAAGATACGGAAAAGAACACAAGTGGTCATTCAGCAAACGAATTCAGATACACTGACCATTTCCAAACCGCACCATATTTGCATCACTCATATTCAAGTCGGTAACTTCTAAAGGAAACAGGCCAATAAAAAAGGTGGGTCTAGAGCTGCAGCCTAGACGCAGGAGTGGTCGGTTACAAAGAAGGACTTTTACACAGGTTTCGCATTTCGATTCTCTGGAACAGTACGCAACGTATGGTGCGGCCTAGTGGTATTAATGCTCAACGCACACACACACATCATCAAAGGGTTCAAAGGTTCTATAAGTTCCCACTTTTCACGCTATGAATTCACCACCAGCTCAGCAAACTTCACCGAATTCAAATAGACTCCAACGGGGCTCACACGTCAGTGGCACACACACCACTGCAGTCCCACTACGACGCCCGTCAGTAGCCATTCACGAGAGTCTGATCAACGCAATCCATGCGCACAAACTAACAAAGCTGCTCACCTTGTCCATCGCCCCAAGGATGCCGTAGTAGCGGGCTTTCAGCTCCTCAACAGACGGCCTCGGTGGAAACCGCTCGGCGTCCCATCGATCATGCATGTGGATGAACCGCACATCAAACTGACGAGCCAAGTCCATCAGATGATTGGTCTGTTCCAGGGTCCACTTCGAGTCCTTCAGGTACGCCAAGTAGTCAGCCTCACTGAATTCGGGCACCTCCACGTGCTGCAAGCAAGCACACTATTCACACTCTACTTCTACTTTATAAATAGACACGCATTTATGCAACCGCACCTTATTCAAACGCGCGAAATGGTAGTCCTCGTTCAGATCAGAATCCTCTCGTCGCCAGTGATAGAGAACAAGTCCATCCTACAGTGCAGAAGACACACGTGCTATGAAGCAGCACATCAACTACACTTATACCCTGATGCGCGTCCTGATGGAATCAAACACACAGAGCCTACCTCCCGTGCTGAATTCTTGAATGGCACCCATTTCCACCGACGAACGCGTCCCGTACCAATCACGGCCTTCGGCTGTTTATAAATGGGTGCCTCCACAGCTGGTATAAGTGGCGGCAGCTCACTGGGATGAATAAAGACGATTATCAGCAATGGGGAGAGAGTTGAGGCATCAATATATGTGCGGGCATCAGAATTCTGACTCATTACATGTCAATTAGGAAATCATGTCTTCGTGATGCGTCACCAATGAGCTAGAGAGCAAGAAAACTAAAAATAAACAAAATTTCGAGATTTCAATTGCGTCAGGATAAGAGTAGTCGTTTGGTACTTTGTGCGAATCTTAGCAAAGACTGACAATTGCGTCATTGAGCGAATGTCACTACGTGAGAGAAGTCAACTGAACTAATTTCAGCACTTCTCACGTACTGTTTGTAAATAGGTCTTTCCTTTAATAAAATTGAATCGGTGGTGCTAGCGGCGCATTAAAAAACTTTCCTGCAATCGTTTGTGTTCTCCCCGAACCTACTTCTGCCGTGGTACAGCCATGGTTGTACCTAGCTGCTTATCATAATTGCGTTCGACGAGAGACAGTACTTCTGTCAAGCAACCACAATCTTTCAGAATAATTAACCAAGTCATAAGTTCAAGGTTAACACGCTGCACTGGACCGTCGTTGTTATGAGATTTGTTGTCAGCAGTTTATTGAGACGCCGGGACAGATTTATCTCGACCTATGTTCTGCAAGCTTCAGCGGTGGCGAAAAAATTTCCAAACAGGGAGATTTATTTGTCAGCAAACCTTGTAGCAGGTGTTTTAGTGCCAGGGTCTGACGCAAACAAAAAATATTCGTGCTATCAGGTGAAACGGTCGACTGAACTAAGAAGATAACAAAACTCTCGCGAGAGCATCAAGGGGTACTCAAAAGCTATGTCCACGTGAATTAGGATTTCTTCAGGAGCCTCTGACTGTTGGAAAGTAGTTTTGCTGTCCTAATTAACCCTCAATATTTAATCACTTATCCAATTTTGTGCTGACCTTGGTGCTCTACTCAGAATATTTTGGTACCTGGATGAGGAAGACTGTGTCGAGCCTTGAATATGTGGTTACTCATGGACTCGTGAACAAATGAGCGGTTTACTTGGGCGAAAATATCACATGATGGTAAGTGTGGATGTGAGCAATGGGGTCTTGAAGGGCTTAAAAGCTGACTTTTCTTCGTCAATTGTGCCGTTTTTGTTGGACAGTACTCCTGTAGCTGACGAAAGCTGACGGTTTGGTGCCGGTGTAGAAGTGTTCAACGGCTGGGTAACTGGCCAGGCGTTCACGGCCGAAGGCTCCATAACGTTTTTGAGCCTCATTACTCATTTCTAAGAAATAGTCTAATGCTCACGTCGTTCCGTTGAAGCCCCGCTGAACGACTGCGCTAATTACTAAAAGAGAAGGGTCGTCTAAGGCAAAGACGCATCTGATCGCTGCTAAACAAGTGAGAGAGCGTTTGCTAAAGCCTCCTTTCCAGTCGTGAATGCTTTGCGTACCTCTATCTTCAGGTTTAGTTTATTTTGGAGATAAACTCGAGGAAATCGGTAACAGGCAGTAGTCGCCGTGTGGAGTCAGGCTGGAATAGTCGATCAAGGTTACTCATGACCGAAAAACGCCGGAGTTGAAGGAATGACCTCGGCCCTAGAAGCAAACAAAATGACGTCACTAGGCCTCGATCATTGGAACTACAATTCTTGATACAAAAATACTCTTTGACAGGATGATTATTAGGGTGTATTTGTCCAGACCTTGAAAAAAATGCCTAAGTTGTATTTTCCTCTTGATCTACTCTGGCTATAAGAATATTGATGATGTACAAAAAAACAAAATCTGCACCAGATAACAGATGAATGAAAAATTGGAATATTTATGTTCACTTTCTTCAGCTGAATTGTGGTAGAAATATTCAGGCCTTGATACTGCAGAATCTGGAGAATCCAATTTCAATAAAATCGAATTTATCGACATGTTTTAGAATGAAACCATTAGAGACCCACTGCCTAACTAAGCAAAATGCTGCTAAGCATCGCTTTATATAGATACATTGTTCTCGTTGGTTGTTGGTCCTTATCAAAAGCCATTCAAACACACAACGACAGAGCATAGGTTGGACTTCTAATGTAATCCAGTGAAACTGCAGCAGATTTAATGTGGGATGGCGACAATTTATAGTGCTCTCATTTAAAGATGAATTATCGCCACACAGACGCCACCCTCTAAGTGTATTTTGTAGAAACCCTGTCTAGCACTGATGTCTAATCAATGTTCGATTTTCGATCTGAATTGGCTTTGCGTTTTCGATTTTTCGTTTGCTGGTTGAGTACTTTGTGTGGGAAGGCGGCTGACCGTGGTATTGACTGGGCTGAAATTTGCCTAGATGTTATGCATAGCCGTGTGTCAAATGTCGGTCTAACTAGGTCTGGCGACTATTCCAGAAAAATCGAATAAGTTCTATTTATAAGTTTGTGACTTGAATAAGCGCTGACGTTTGTTGCAAAAGTTATTAGCTGACGGGTACTAGTCAGTTTGCATGTTTTAAATTACCAAGGAGACTTAAATAGTTCAGTGGATTGGGTGAGTCACCACTGCGACTTTAAAAACCCAACAGAATCGACATCGGATTTGTGCTTATTGGTAATGATTATTGGACCTTAACTGTTGGAAGAGAAAACGTTTTTGGATGCTATTGGTTAAAAATCCCGTTCGTAAGTGCCAAAGTCAACCAGAAATCGCAGCCTTGCAGATCTGTTATGTAAAAACAGATCTCAGCTCAAGTGCCCGTATTTTGAAGGTATCCTTACTGTCAGACACCTTTGCTTTTTAAAATAGTTAGAGTACCAGGAGATCGCCACTTTAAGGTTTGGTGAAACCTACATTTTTTCCTGTGAACACCATTGTGACTCATGGCATATTTGAGCAAATAAGCGATTTTTGCATTTAAAATTGATTGCAAAATGGTAAAAGCCAGTTGCATTTGATCCGGGAGTCGTTACTCTGAGCCTAATAGTAGGTAGTGGACTGTTTGCGTGGTAAATGAACTTACGAATTACGTTATGAATGATGTGAGACTTTGAGTGTATTTTGGATGAGACCTGTAACATCTTCCAACGGCATAATCTACCGGTGAGGTTTTGAATGACGAGTGTCATGGCGGGGTCACCGATGTCAGTTTTGAACCCCAACTGTTCAAGCGCTTAACTTTCGAACTAAAGCGCCAGACATGAGAGAGAAAACCAAACTCAACGAGGCTCAGCCAATTATTATCACGATAAGGGGGTGACGTGGGTTGAAATAAAGCCCTTTATTAGCGACCTCAACTTGTTCATAGATGACCGATGTCAGTGAAGGGTTTTTTGTCAATGAGCCACCTGACAAATTGTGTCAGACCTATGTACCTTAATCCTTCATATAATGGGAGAAATTCGGTAAATTAGTGGTAAATCGAGTTAAGGTGATGAAACCGCGGATATCCTTACTACACATAATTCATAATAGTTAAGACCATCCTGGAAACACACTTATAAAGCAACACGAGGCAAAACATAGCATAAAAATCTACAATATTCATGAAGATTTACGTGTTTTGGAAATGTTGGCATTATAAATATTTGATTTAATTATGTGTTCAAAATTTTCTGACATATAGATACCCAAATGTGTGTAATTTTGTGTGGTCATTGAAATTAAAATTTGCTTTTTGTCATTACTTTTAAAATGAATTTTTTTCAAATTTATTACAATAGAACTCAGTTGATTTCTGTTTCTGATCAATACGTTCCTTTATTCTTGGCTTTTTAGAAGTGTGCCTGATTCCATCTCACTCGATGTTTCAGCAGCACATTATGTGAATGACTAACCACTATATTAGCAAAAAATTATTCTATTCATTTTCTGAAACAAATATGGATGCTCTAAAATGTCAAAATATTATATTATAACGCTGTTAGTTAGTTCTACCGATAAGTCTACATTTAAGCGAAGGTCTCGGTCTGTGGACCAACATTTTGGTCTTAAAAATAATTTGAAATGGGGACTTTATTGCAACTGCATATCTCTGGTTGGTCGCTAATAATTTACGTTGGCCTCCGTGATCTGTGGCGAACACAGTTATCAATCATGAGCGAACGCAGTTAGCAAGCGTCAGAGAACACGATTCAGTCGGTCTTAGTGAATGCAATAGCACACCTCTACTATTCCGACACCTGTTTCATTATCGCTCACCCGACAGACGAAGACAGTGGATATCAAAAGTTACTTTCTTTCATTATTCTGGACCGTCCCAATCTCAATGTAAACAAAAACGCTTTCGAAATCTTAAAACGGTTAATTGAAGTGAAGATGCATTTTGTCCATTGAAGGTACAGCAAAACACCTGGCATCACACCTCTGTTGACATTAATTAACTTATCTACTACAAACCTCTATCTATGTCAAGGAGATCAAATAGTTCACTTCTTCCATTTGACAAGACTTGCAATAGCAAACTTTGCACCTTAAATATCAAACTTCTGCTAGGAAATTCGAACCTCTTAAATGTAAATATTTTGCCGATTGCAAAATAATCCATCTTAAAATGTTCATTCAGGAATATCTTCATCTTTAAGCAGCAGTATTCAATTATCCCACCTATCACCTAAAATTTTTTGGTTTCCATCATTGTGGATTTGAATTATTATGCCAGAGATCTTAGTTAAATTGGCATCAGGGTTTTTATGCAATCAATAAATTTTAAACCAGACAACTGAAGCATTTATGTTTGCATGCGGTGCAAAATTGTCTTTAAAATTTATTGGTCGAGTAACACCTTTGTATCCCAGCACTAGTATGAAGAAGACGTGGATATTGGAACAGAATTCTTAGACTAGACACAACCTAGAACAGTTTCAAGAGCCGGTCCATATGGACTCACGTCAAAATCTTCGTCGCCAATTATATTAGTAATTTTCAAAAGTCTATGTCTCTGATTAGCTGCTTTCCTTCCTCGAAGGCCCTTTAGGCTCACCGAGGCAGTTGATTGGCTGAACCCTCGCAATTCATTATGTCTGCGCTCTCTGCTGCCTTTCACTGTTTTATTAAAAGATGTCATCGGATGTCCTTGATATCCTCGAAATCGAGGAGTCAGGTCCTAGAAGGACGCTCTTAGATACAAAGTCACTTCTTAGCAG